CTATAAAATCAATGCTAAAGTCAAAAGTCTGTAAATCAAAGTCATTCAACCCTTCGAGCTCTTTGTTAGAACGCATATCAAAAATATAAGTCTCAAGTTGATCGTTAAGTACAATGACATTTACTACAGAGAAATCTAATGGATAAAGCTCAGCAAGTCGAATCGAGTTTTTCTTGCCAAAAGAAGAAAATAAATATTGTGGACATAAACAAGATATACAAAAGGAGTAACTCTGTATTTACCTCCAAGAAACGATCATTCAATTCTTGAAATTGTAAATCGATGATAGAGTAGAACAAATCTGCTCGATAATGATGTAAATTTGTAATTTTTGGGGAATTATGCTGAGAATGACCACGAAGTGAAAGGCGTACAAACATATCATCCATGTTGGATACATGAATGTAATGTTATTGATAAAAGAATATACTTCTTCCAAAAAGGAGTCTCACCTTCGTCTCTCATATTTGGAGTTGTCATTTGCACAATCTCACCAATTGTATACATTCACAATATCTTGATCTTTGTATCGACTCCAATAAATTTTTGTATTACATTCAAATTTTTGTATTACATTCAAATTTTTGTATCGACTCCAATAAATTTGATCACAAGAATAATATTCATCTTCATCAATCATTGCAAGTACATCTAAAACAGAAGAGAACATGGCAAGCAAGCCGACCAAAGAATTATAATGTGAACTCCATCGTGTATCACCAGAGCGCTGAAGGGTCGTTTTTTTATTAAGTTCCCATCCACTTAAAATCTCACATTTTTCTAATATCTCAACAATAAAGTCTAATTGTTTTTCTCAAAGAAGATCAAAAAGTTTGGAAGATGCTCCAACAGTATTTATCACATCACCAACCACACGAATGAAATTAGTAATATGGATGTTCTTTCTTTACCACAGCTACATCGCAAGTTGGAGTTGATGAGCAAAACAGTGAATGTAAAATGCAAATGGACTCTCTTTCAAAATGAGTGTTTTAAGTCCATTAAACTTGTCTTGCATATTACTTGCTCCATCATTACCTTGTCCACTCAATCTAGACACGCTTAAGTTATATCTAGAAAATACCTTATCAATTGCAACCTTAAGTGATAGAGCCGTGGTACTTGTAACATGTTCAATTCCTATGAAGCGTTCATTGACATGCCCATTACTGTCTATATAACGTAAAACAATAGACATTTGCTCCTTCATTGACACATCACGAGATTCATCAACTAGAATAGAAAATAATGAGTCGCCAACATCTTTGATAATAACATTGATTGTTTCAATAGCACAAACATTTACTATATCCTTTTGAACATTAGGTGATGTCAATTTGCAATTCTGATGAGCATTTCCAATGTGACGGCATTAATAACTTCATTATGAGCAGCCAAAAATTGCAATTGCACTAAGTTACCTAGATTGAGAGAATCCTCAAATTCATCATGACCTCGAAATGAGTGCCCTTGTCGCAAAAGAACTCAAACACAATCAATGGATGCATTAAAACGTGTAACATATGCACTTCTTGCTTGTTCTGACTGTTTGTAGAAGATTGATTGAATGTGTTGCTCTTGATTCATCAACACTTCACACTTAATGCGAGCTTGATTATGTACACTATCATGAAGTACAACATGAGTATGAAGCCTTTTTTTTTTTTTATCTTTCCAATATATAAAACATTCGCCAACAAAAGACTCACCTCCACATTGCTTTCTAGAACTTGTTCTAAAAAAATAACAATACAAACAATAAGCAGCATCCTTTTCTACATTGTACTCCAACCAACTACCAAACTCTTTAAACCAGGAAGGATTGAATTGTCTAATTATTACTCCAAATTGTCATTTTGGAAAGTTATGATCTTGTGGCTGACAAGGACTCTTTAACATATATGCTCTTCGAACTTCATCTCGGATGTTAGCATTATAATCCAAAATGGGTATCCTTAGACTAGGATCAGTTGGAAGTTTTGTGACATTAAATTCCACATTATTCGATACCCTCTCATCAACATTATCTACGTTCATTTTTCGTTGAAAGTATCTATTCATTTGCTATCCAATTATTACTGTGAGTGAGTGAGAATAATTCATAATGACAAACGGATCATAAATTCACAATTTCATAATTTCAATTTCACAGTGACCAATTCAGTAATTCACAGTGCAATACTAATATATAACTGCAATTCACATTTAACAATGCAATTCACAATTTCACATTACCAATCCAATTTCACAATATCCAATTCATCGTCCAATTCGCAATTTCACAACGCAAAATATACTATTACCAAATCTTAAGCAACTTGAACTTACAATTTCACATAGTTTCGCTGGATGGAAGCTGGGAAGTCTGTTGTCCCTTTGACCGTCCGTGCCTCTTTTTGCAATCGAAGTCCAAAGTGCTAAATTTATTTCATATGTTAAAAGACAAAAAAATATATATCATTACAATTTACACAAATCCAAATAACAACAATAAGGGAAAAAAATCAAAATCACTAGTCTACTGCTAAAAATATTGAAATTGGAGTGGCTAAAATTGAAATTGAAATTGAAATCAAAATCACCTTCTTTAGTTCTTCTGGGCTCTGGCTTCTTCTTCTTTCGTTGGGCTGGTTGGAACTGGAAGAAACAATAGGCGGTTGAATAGTTCTACAGTTCAGGTGGCAGTGGTTAGAGGTTAAAGTTGTGATAGGGGATTGGGGATACTAGAGTCCGGGGCTAAAGATTAGAGCCCCTAATCTAGGAGATGCCGGTGGACAGTGGACTATAACTAGAAGTCGGTGACTGCGAATCGCGAGAAGGGAAGCAAGCGTAGAGAGAGACGCGATTCACGTGAGGGAGCAAGGGTTTGGTTTTGATTTCAGTTGAAATGAAGAGCTTGTTTGAATGAAAATATGTTAATTGAATTATGATTCCGGGTCTGGGTCAGTAAACGGGTCATGGACTGTGAGCAATTGGGCTTCCATCTGGGTTGGAGACTTGAACCAGGCTAAACAGAATAAAAATAAAAATAAAAATAAAAAAATTGGGCCTACCAAAGCCCAAAAGATGCCCGCACTGGACCTAATGGGTCTCCACCCTTGATTATGGTATTTTCTACCAAATAACTTAACCAAAATATGTGCAGTGCTCGATCGAATCTTAGGATGTTGAGGCGGAGGAGGAAGGGCAAAATTGAAAATTCTCATTTACTGGCCTGATTTATTATACTCATTTTCTAATATTATTTAAATTTAAACATAAAATAAAGTAAAATAGATTTATAAAAAAGCGTGGCACTTATCGACGCTGATCATAATTCAGGTGATAGTTATCTTTTACCAACTGTTTCTTCAAAAGAGGCATTTCAAATAATCGTAATATCAAATAATTACTTTGTGCAAAATAAAAATAAAAATAAAGAAGAAGAAGAAGAAGTAAAGGCCTCATGTAGTATGTGCGTTGTGGAAAATTAAAGATGAAGTTTAATTTGGTTTGGTTGCGAAGAAAAAGCAAAAGACTTTAAGTACATATTTTAAAAAAAGAGGTGAGTTGGAAAAAAGATTATGTTAAATTAAAAATTTGTATTAGTATAAATTTTTATGAATTTAAACAGTTATTAGTTTATATATTTATTGGGTCTTATAGGATTTCAAAAAAAAAAAAAATTATTATTATTATTATTATTATTATTATTATTATTATTATTATTATTTCATGCATTTAGTGGGATTATTAATTTAGTACACTGACCTAAGTCGGAACTGATGAATTTTATTATTTAAGCGAGATTATTAATTTATTGAACAATCATTTATTGAGGTTTTATTGTATTTGATTAATTGTGACCGATAAATAATATGAGACCGAATGGACAATTTGTGACCTAAAGAAATGTGTTATTGCGGCTAAATTTATAATCGTGATTTATAATTTGTTAAATTGTAACCAATTAATTTGATAATTTGTGGTTGAGAAATAAATGTGACTTATAAATTTATGATGCATGATCAAAAAATAATACTTGATCTATTATTAATTTGATAATTTGTGACTGATAAATAAATTGTGACATGTAAAATATATAATTTGTGGCCGGGAAATAATGTATGACCAATTAATTATATAATTTATGATCGATAAATAAATTGTGATATATAAAATTTGTGCGTTTTTGTAATTGTGACTAGTAAGTAATTGTAATCATAAATTATATAATATCGTGACACTAATATATTTAATTAATAAAATATAATTATGACTTGATTTTTGAAATTTTAAACAAATTTCATAATTTTGAAATTGTAATACCTTAAATATGTATTGTTCTCTATTCTAAATGTGTTTGAGCCTATATAGAGATAATGATTTATATATATAGAGCATGTTTGGCACGGTTTAAAATTCAATTAAAATTAATTTTTTTGATCGTTATTTCACTATTTCAGTCGTCATTTTTGAATTATTCTCTCACAGGTAAGGCTCATTTTATCTCTAACGATTAAAAAATCAATTAACAAAATCCCCACCAAACAAGCACATAATGTCGTAAGATATGATTAGATAAAAAGTCCTTAAACCCAATAAAAAACACCACTCTACTATCTTTTTTGATACATTATATGTATGTAAACAATTACATTATTTCATTATGTGTAAGTAGCATTACTTTCTTAAAAAACCTAAATTTTTTTACAGAAATGTCAAGATTTCGTTGAAAGTAAAAAAAAAAAAAATAAAAAAAGAAAAGAAAAAGGACTAGATCTAAACTCCCTCAATTATAGATGCTCGACTATTCCTCGTTGCAATTTTTGATTACTTGTCAAAGACTTGCGTTCTTGACACTTTTAAGTTGTCGTTTTTCAAATCTGTGCTATTTTTATAAGTTACTCTGTACTGGTGACTATCATTGGGCTGGACCAATGCTTCCATGTTGGACAAGGCCCATTAACCCAATATTTTGGATTTCAAATCACCATATAAACACACTAGGGTTTCTCCATTGAGAGAGAGAGAGAGAGGTGGAGGAGCGGCGAAAATGGTGAAGTTCCTGAAGCCAAACAAGGCGGTGGTGATCCTGCAGGGCCGTTATGCCGGGCGAAAGGCCGTGATTGTGCGTAACTTCGATGATGGAACGCGCGACCGCCCCTACGGCCACTGCCTGGTGGCGGGATTGGTCAAGTACCCGCGCAAGGTGATCCGAAAGGACTCGGCAAAGAAGCAGGCAAAGAAGTCTCGCGTGAAGTGCTTCATCAAGCTGGTGAATTACAGTCACATTATGCCCACCCGTTACACCTTAGACGTGGACCTCAAGGATTTGGTGACCCTCGATAGCTTCCAGTCCAGGGATAAGAAGGTCTCGGCTGCCAAAGAGACCAAGGCTCGGTTCGAGGAACGGTTCAAGACGGGGAAAAATCGGTGGTTCTTCACCAAGCTGAGGTTTTGAGTCTGGTTTGTTGGTCATTTTTGAGCTGATTTTGGTTCTTCACAGAGGGTGATTCTGTTTTTTTATTAGATGATTCAACAATCTTATTTGAACTCGTATTTTTGCTTAATATTAGTTGTTTCGATTTACAATGAAATATTGATATGCGATTCTCGATTATATGTGAAATTATATTGGTTTTATTGATTTCTCTAATCTTTTTGTTGTGCACTGTGGGATTATTGCTTGCGGGAAATGGGTTTTTGGCTCCATTTTCATTTCTGGAGATTAGGGTTCTGTTTTTGCCCCAATTATTTGAATTTGCACAGTAATTTGCAAATTTCTTTTGAACACATATATGAATATTTTAGTAGTTATTCCTGTCAAATGAAGTCTTTATGCTATGCTTAAATTGTCGGGTTCTGCATGTTAATTGCTTCTGAATTTTATCTCAGATTCTGGCCTCTGAGCTGTTTTTTCTTCTGTATATACTCGAAGTATAGATGCCAATGTTTAGAACAGGTGCCATCTTAATAAACCATAAACCATTTTACAAAAACTATAATATAACAGTATAACTGAATTGAAAGTCGAACTTGCAAAGAAACATAAATTAGACCAATAAAGTAGCTATTAATAATTTCTTGAATTAGTAGATCATAATCGTGTAAAAATATTGTGATCTACTGCTAGATATAGAAAAACAAACCCATAGGCTCATTTATGATCACTACAACTAGTATCTTTAAGGGAAATGTTGACCTTTTAGATTATCCTATCGTTGTATGCATCACTCAGTATATTCTCATTCTTTATCATTGTCAACCGTGACTTCTCCTTAGCCTTTCCTTTCCGCGGAGAAGGAGAAAATAAAAAAATCGTAAAACATTGAATGTTATAGAAAGGCTAATGACAACAAAATAAAATGCCCGATAAAATGAAGCGAGATGGGTGAACAGTTTAGTCGCCATGAGGCTTAGTCTTGATGCATAAGCGTCACTTAGTCAAGCTGCAAGTTTCTGAGGCGGCTTATGATAGCCTCACATGAGACAAGACTTGAGGCATAAACTTCTATATTTTTTAACAATTAGGGTGTGTTTGATTGACATGGAAAATATTACCTAAAAAAGAAAATATTTTCCATCTTTTGTGGAAAATAAAAATCACCTCTACCCAAGGAAAATATTTTCCTTAAAAACAAGAAAAATTAGGCATATTTTCAAAAGTTGGAAAATGTTTTCCATGGAAAAAAATAGCAATCAAACACTCAAAGTGAAAATTTGGATGGAAAATTGATATTTTTCATGGAAAATAAATGTAATCAAACACACCCTTATAGATTCTGTGCGAAATCATGTCATAAATTGTGCAAATATTCAATTTTTGTTTGTTAAATTGTTAATATCTCGGTACAGAGTTGGAATAAAACTTGCTGACTACAGTTAGCATAGGGAATTAATCAAATTATTCTCAACTTATGGGAATTATTTGGATTCACTTTGATCTATTGGGAATCATCATGTTAAATAAAAAATGAAGAGGCGATAAACCTTCGCACTTGGACAACTTTGTTAAATTTGCACTTGGTATCCTACTGTTGAAACTTGAAAACAATTTATTTCTGGCTAAATCATATACCAATGCCTATAACTATGATGCATTTGACATGGAAACTATAATTTAAAATCTTTTCATTTAAGAGTTGTGTTTGTTGGAGAGGAAATTTTGGAGTGCCAAGGTTGACGGCATAAAGCCTTTACTATCCTGTTTGAGCCCAATTATTTCTTCATTAAAATGAAAAATATGATCGTAATCCATCAATCAAGTCACTATATTTTGACTTTTTATCTCTCGTGTGGAGTCATAATAACTATATTTTTCATTCTCATTTTTACAATAATGTGACTCAAACGGGGGTTAAGATTTAAGAGAATGATTTCTACTGTGCTTAGCCTTGGAAAACCAAGAGGAAATGTTGTTATCTTGCTTGTCAATCATAGTATTTGAGAGTAGTATTTGATGTATTCTGGAGTAGGTTGACAGTAGTATTAAATCTTAGATTTTACCTTGGTTCTTTTAATCTCTATGTACAAAGCATCCTTGCATTTAGTGTCTTTGATTTGTCAGCTAGATTTATATGTACTTGAGTCATATGGGCAAATAGTTTTCTTTGCCTTTTAATAGATCACAAATGTTGGGCATGCCCTCAAATCTTTGTTTGCCTATTAACCTTAATAGAGGTTTGCATTTTGAGTGCCTGTCTGTCTCCCGCCATTTGGCCAAGGCAATATTGCAAGTAATTTTTCAACTTTGATGCTTATGGAATGCGGATTATGGTAGTTTAATTGTCTTACTTTCTTCTTTTTGATTTTTACCCCCTATTCTTTGCTGTAATTGGCATTTTGAGAACTCTAATGCAATTAAAATGTGACGTACTTGTGGTGTCAATATGCCTCAGCAATTAATCAAGATATTTCAAAATGAAAGGTTTGGGGAGTATTGTTGCTCAAATATTAGATTGCAGACTTTCTATCTACATCTTTAACAAGTAAAGGCCCTGCGTATAATATTTGAATACTAGAAGTGAAAATTACACACAAAAACGATTTTCTACATCCAATTTCAAAAATCAGGTTTAAAACTTATTTATTTAAAAACTTATCTCTCTCTCTCTCTCTCTCTCTGTCTCAAAATTTTGAGAAATAAATCAAGGTACATTCTTATGCGCCTAATTTATTTTTGTACCTTGCTCAAATTATAAAAACTAATTATTAGATACTAAAACCGCAAATTATAAATAAATCGCGGCATAATTCATCAAAATTGTTGGACAGAGACACAGAGTAATATTACTTGAGAATCAGTACTATGTACCATATACAACTGTCTGCGGCTCCAGGCCAGCGATCCGCTGGAGAGCCGATCAGAAACCCTAGCCACGAACTCCTTATATACATCCTCGTTGTTATGCTCACTGTGATTATTTGAAGCCTCGCAGATATTGACAATTAAGTCGATAGTCTGTTTCGCTATGGGCTTATCGTCGAAACTGGATAAAACCGAGACGAGAGGGGAGATGAGGAAGTGAGAGTGGAAAGTAAGAAACGAACGGAGAAAGAGAGGCTGAGAGAGGGCTTGGAAGAGCTGCGAGAGAGCATAGGAGACGTGTACAGTGGGCGAATTTGGGTTAGAGAGTAAATTGGAGAGGCAGAGGAGGCAAATTGAGCCGCCCTCAGCGGTTGGGAGGATGAGGTTGGAGAGGTGACCCTGGGAGCACGACGGCGGTGGTGGAAGTGGCGGTGGCGGCGGAGGCGGAGCTGAGGTGGCGGAGTACATCACTGAGAGGAGAGAGAGGGTGATTTGAAAACTAGTAGAAATGAAAGGCGGGAAAGGAAGTTTATACGGGATTGAGAGCACGGGTAATCCTGTAATTAGATGGACATTCTGAGGTCAAAGATCCAGAAAAGATGGAGTTAAAAATCCTAATGCGTGTACTCATTATGAGCACTTTTGATAAGTGCAATTAAATGAATCACTGATATTGTATTTAAATAAATCTATAATTTGAAATTAAAAATCCTAATGTATGTACTAATTATGAACCACGTTTGATTCGTATCAAACACCTAGGGCGTGCTTCGGATTAATTTTTTAGGCCAAGAAACTGATTTTTTGCTCGTTATGAGCCGCATTTTTTAACTAGCGAACTCACGGTGGGACTCATATTCAAATGTAACAGCTACTTTTGGCTGTTAATCCATTCAAGAATCAATAACAAATAAGGTCATAATAATGCTAAATAACATTACTCATGCAAGTACTTTGCACAACGTTTTCTTTAACATTTTCTTGGATGGTCACCGAACTTATCAATTTGTTATCTCATTTCAAAAGGTATTCCATATTCACACGTCTATACCGAACATAATCGAACTTTATTTCATTATAGAATTGTCACTTTACATCATTATGGTCAGGGGCGGAGCCAAGATTTGTGTTCAGTGTGGACAATATTTTTCGACGCCGAACTTCGAGGTTTTGGTCATGGATTTAATAATGATAAAAAATAATAATATTACAACAATACTAGAAATGACATAATTTATATATTAAATTTGTTCCTTGCGAGTTTTCATATTTTAATATCGTCGTACAATAACTTTATTATCGAGTTTCAAAAATATATTTTTCTCTACATAAACAATTGTGTCATCATTCATCCATTGATCACCCATCTGATTGCGCAATCTATCCTCTACGATGGTCATTGTAGAAATGATTCTCTCTATAGTAGCGACAGCAACCTATAAAATCAATGCTAAATTCAAAAGTCTGTAAACCAATGGATATACTTTATCTTTCTTTGTCAGAACTAACTTCTCTGCAAGATCACCAAAGTAATTCAACCTTTCAAACTCTTTGTTAGAGCGCATATCAAAAATATAAGTCTCAAGTTAATCGTTAAGTACAATGACATTTACTGCAGAGAAATCTAATGGATAAAGTTCAGCAAGTCGAATCGAGCTTTTCTTGCCAAAAGAAGAAAATAAATATTGTGGACATAAACAAGCTATACAAAAGGAGTAACTCTGTATTTACCTCCAAGAAACGATCATTCAATTCTTGAAGTTGTAAATCGATGACAGAGTAGAACAAATCTGCTCGATAATAATGTAAATTTGTAATTTCTGGAGAATTACATTGAGGATGGCCATGAAGTGAAAGGTGTACAAACATATCATCCATGTTGGATACATGAATGTAATGTTATTGACAAAAGAATATACTTCTTCCAAAAAGGAGTCTCACCCTTCGTCTCTCATATTTGGAGTTGTCATTTGCACAATCTCACCAATTGTATTACATTCACAATATCTTGATCTTCCCTTTGCAATGTCTTTGACAGTTCATTTGACATCCCCAAGACACTTCTCATCAACTGTAGATTAAATGCAAAATCAAATTTTTGTATCGACTCCAATAAATTTGTTGTATCAGATCTTCGATCACAAGAACAATATTCATCTCATCAATCATTGCAAGTACATCTAAAACAGAAGAGAACATGCAAGCAAGCTGACCAAAGAATTATAATGTGAACTCCATCGTGTATCACCAGAGCGCTGAAGGGTCGTTTTTTAATTAAGTTCCCGTCCACTTAATATCTCAACAATAAAGTCTAATTGTTTTTCTCGAAGAAGATCACAAAGTTT